AGAGATGCTTGTGTTCCAAGAGATGGAACAATGCTTCCAGTCAGAATAGAGGAAAAGGGAGCCTCAGATCTCAGTAAGCGATGGCAAATGGAAAGCAGAGGAAACAACAGAGCTCTGCGGAGCCATTTCATATCGAGACAGCTAGCAAAAAGTTTCCAAAACCACACAAAATCGACACCACGAACAGACTGCAAAGTTTTATTACTATAGACCACCTAACTTTGAGTTTCAAGTCGTTAATTGTTAGGGTCACATTCTTCTCAAGTTTGCTCTTAATGTACTATGCCATTCACCTCCCCCTCCTCAGATATGTTGTGTGATTTTAGTCTACAGAATAACTTAGTTCTTTCTACTCCTAAAATGAAACAGGCTTTATTTTCAGCAGCCTGAAAATTATTCTGACACATTAGCCTATTAATGAAAGAATAAAACTTTTAAAGTCTTCAGGTGTGAAAGATGTCATCTTTAGATAACAACACATGTAATAGGGTTATGTAAAATCTTGCCATTTCTTTACTCGAGCAGTTTTTATCTCATTAACTTCTGCCCAAGCAAACTGACAACTAACAGTAGTCTACTAGGCATACTGGCCAAGGAGGCATAAAGTCTTTTTCTTATTTAGCCTTACCAAATACACCCAGAGATTTCAAAGAACAGTATGTTCATTCCACCAACTTCTGCAGTTTTATGGCAAGCTCTGTTCACCTTTGGGGTTGACAGCCCACCTCCTTCCAAAGGACAATGTTTTTGAAAACTTGATTCCTCAACCCAACCTCAGTTCCTAACTCATTTACCATCCCATCAAGGATGAGCACATGGATTCACTAAAAGTGAAAAGGAAATACAACGAAAACCAAATTAAGCAGATCTTACAAAAAATCCTAACGTTTTTGTTAAATGAAGTGCAATAGCAAGGGAACAGCTGTCACCAAGTTCTCAGCCTTAAAGTTATCGACATGACCAACGGCATGTGCTTCTGCTCACACGACAGCACTATTTAAGCTTCCCTGATAAACCATCACAAAGCCAAGGACAATTTACTTCTGTTCTTCAGCAGGTGTCTCCACACTTTTACATATTAAGTTGAGAACAGGGGATATATACAGGCTTGATTCACAACAGGAAGAACATTGCCTACTGGATGGCTCTTCCATACGTAGTCACCTGAGCTGCAGTCAGAGATGAATCCTATGAGTAAGTGGATGGCAATAAATGAGGAATAGCTAGGACATGATGACCCTCTATCAACCCCAAACTCCATTTCTTCCCTTTAAGCCAGTCATTTCTGTCATCATAAATTGCTAAACTAAGCAAAAATACTTTAAGAAAAATCGTTTTGGTTCAAGGCTACAATCAACTGTTAATTCACTCCCTACAAATCAGACGTAGCAAGCATGTGATAAACATCCTTCCTAAAGAAGTCTACACTGACCTAACTGACCAATGATAATAAATGAATGGATGAGCTTTTTTTCTATCTAATCTATGGTTACTTTTCTTGTCAGACCAAAAAGAAACTCCATGGAAAAAGATAATCAGCCATTTTTTTAACAGAAGCGACTTAACAGGCGCTTTCCTTCTGTTTGATGTCTGAAAGCGTGTTTACATCTGCTTCTTCGTATATACATGGAACTTGTTCTTCTATCACAGCAAAAAACTTCTGCCCCTCCAGGCTACACAACCAAACCCCCATCTGCAAACACGGACCAAGTATAAGACGATTTCAAGTTTTCAAATTTCCAAATTACAACAGTTGCAAGAAACAAACCGCAGTATCCATAACAATTTAAGATAAAAATAAGTTTTAGTGCAGCTAAATGTCTATTAAAAATAACACTATGTCAACAGAAGTCTTCATTTATTTTAAAGTGTTCAAGTTGTTATTACACATACGCCATTTAACTATTTTTTATTTGAACATTAAGGTAATTACAGTTGGAGGGCTCATCTTTCCAGTGGCCTCTCTGCAGTAGATACCACCAGAGCAAAACATGACACATTCCACGTGGTTAACAATATGACATTTGAGATAGCAGAATTACAATCATCATTTTTTTTTGCCAACAGATCACATAAGTAGTACGTAACTGGGGCATTTCCTTTAACAGAAATATCAAACTTAGTACTGCACTTGTTTAATTTCAATATGAACATCTCTACATAAGAGCAACATCATATATGACAGTTTGATTTATCACACATACAGTACTTGGGCAGCTCTAACTGACGTATTTTTCCTCCTAAGCTTCACAGTAGGTTTAATTTATAAAACATATTGCTAAAATGCCCTGCACAAAAGTAAGAATAAAATGCATCTTGCTTTTGCCCCTTCAATGGCAAAGGGAGCAGGGTTTTTATCTTATTACACAGCCTTTTCATACATGCACAATTTTCTTCCATGGACACTTCTACATGTACCCTACCTACCATTTGGTCTGCAGGAAAATAATCTTTATTCAAAAAAAAATCTTAATTTTCCTCTCAAATTAGAAAGACTACGGCCGTAGACAAATACGTGACAAATCACTACCAACTACTTATTTCAGAGTAACATTGAAAGTGTGAATTCTTATCAAGTAACAAGCACATCAGTCATCTGAGGTGCGATGAATTCCCTCAGGATTCAACTCATCCCATTTTGAGTTCATTTGTGAAACTGGCTGGTTTATTTAGTTACCTCTTTTGTAGGACATCCATGCAGATGTTAAGGACTGCCTCAAGTGAAACATGTGACACTATCATTATTACAGGCAGAAATACGACTGGCAGATGTATTGTGTATTTTTAAACACACAAGCTAAGTAAAATCAAACTGCCCCAAGTTTTATGAAGTAAAATGGGATCAACAGCTTCAGTAATTATCACCACAAATTCAGCAAGGGCATTATCTACAATAGGAACGAATAGTTCTTGGTTAGCAAATACTAATTTATTTGAACACCTCTACCATCAGTTTCCACAAGAGAACTAAGCACTGTATTAAAACTTTTTCACTTACTTCCCCCAAATGAATTAATTTAATTCTTCATCTTCCTGAATAAAATTATATTGTACTCTGATACACAAGTGCCATCCAATGACCTACTATTGTAGCAACCTAAGTGAGGACAATGTTGCCTCTAATGTAATCATGCACTTCAAAGTAGCCACACAAAAGTTTTGAGGTAAAATGGGTGAAATCTGGTTGCAAAATTTCAGATTTAAAGGAAAAAGACCATACATACACATCTCAAATAAAAAACACCTAGAACCTGTTGACAGTGAACTGAAGCAATTTATTTCAAGCACTCATCTGTGAAATTTTAGCAGATATTTCATATTTATTCTATTTGGTCCAAATATCCCTACATGTCTTTAAGAGTCACTGAAAAATTGCATCCAAAAATGCATCTGCAACCACAAAACATCTCTTCACCTTTATTCACCCTCAAGCCGTTGTTAAAAACTCAGATTTCCTGAGCTATACAAAAGCAGATCTTAACTTTATTTGTAGTATGTCAACAATGGGTAAGTTAAAAATCAGGTAGAGGTATCTGATACAATATTTAAATCAAATTATATATATTTAATTTTATGAAGTCACTCTTCCTCACACTTCAATACCTATTTGTATTGAATTACACAGCACGGGAACAGTCTGTGTATGGCACTCCCTTGCATGTCTGCAGTATAAACAATTATATTAAGATATCTCAAAATTAAACAAACAGTAAATCCTGTTTATCTATACAAAATTTTAAAAATACATTAACAGCAAATGGGAAAATCACAGCCGAACCAATTAAGTTGTCCATCACTACAGTCTTGAAATGTTAATTTTCATGAAGTTGTTTCATCTTCTTCCTTGGATTAACTGAATTAAGTCAGAAAATGAACTCTTCTCCAATGGCGCTAGCATACATTTCTTCACTGTAGTCATGCGTCAGCTAACTCGGATCTTTCACTGCTAACTTCGGTACTGGTATGCCCCTTCTCTCTCAAAGTTCTACGCAAACGTCACATTCTCCCTTCTTCGTTCCACTGTTTGTGACACCGACCACGCAGCCCTTCAATTGGGGCAGCACCTAGTCTACTAGAGCTTCCACTGGACAGAAGCTTCTCTTACCAGAATACTGCAATGGTTGACAGGCAAGGTTCACTAGAGTCATGATCCACCATGTACCAGCGCTCCACAGTAAGCGCTATGTATCTTCTGTGCAGAAGATAAAACAGCTGTGCACATGTAAACCACAAAAAGCAAGTCAAGTTCAGTGGTGGACAGGGCAGAAGCATGACAGCCAGGCATTCTGGCTGAAGCAATCTTAACCCTGTTTAATTAACCTGTGTTACAGCCTAGTTTAAGCATCATTGTTTACACAATCCTCTCAAATGAACAAAAGCCCTACAAAGACAAGTTAACTGTTCTTTTCTATAGAATAACTAGTCAACAGGTGTTCAAGAATTAATCTAACATAAAGTTTGAAAAGGGTACCTAATAACCACATTTGGAGCTTTTAGATACTATCTTACTTTGAGGTATATGTCTATTACTGTAAAAGTTTCGGCATCACATTCTAAAATCTAGGGTCCAAGAAAAAAGGCTAATTGCATTTTCTAAGTTAAGCAGGCTATAGAAAAATGGGAAGAAATAGTGCGTGGCTTGTGTTCAAGTGTTACTGTTTAGCGTAACACTTCATGCAAGTAATGCAAAGAATATATACTCAGGACTGTTTACATCTGAATAAATAGGGTAAATTAGCAAATACAGCATTTAAAATTATCTACAAAAATGTGTTTTACCAGGTATTTACTGTTTGTATCAAGTCTTAAAGCAGAAAGCTGTCAGGGCTATACCAAAGAGTATGAAATAAAAGAAAAAAAATAAATCGAAACATTTTAAGAAATCTTCTCAGAAAACAAATTCATATTAACTGTTAAGTAAACTGAAACTAAAACTAAGACTAACACTATTAGGTGGCCTTATCAGCAAACACCTTCAATCAAAAGGCCATAAACAAGTATGCTTTACATATTATTTGATTTGTTTATTTTACACCATGAGGTGAAAGCAACACATTTCCTTTTAGTAAAGTATACACAAATAGCCTCACTCAGAATACACTTTTAATGCACATAAAAAAAGTATTCATCTTACAAATCGTTTCGCAATCCAAATATACAGTAGCTTGGAAAACAATATTTTAGAAAACAAAAGCCAATGTAAAAAGACCGCTGAAAACAACTGAAATGACAAAAGTTTCTGTATGGCTCTATATCTACAGTTTTCTTACTGCATCATCAATATCAGAAATCTGTTCCTTCAGCTGGTTCCACTGTTCGGGATTTAAAGAAATACCTGAAATGCATTAAAAATAAATACTTAGGACAAAAAGAAGATTACGGTGCAGAATCTTGAGTAATTACTACCAAGGCTGGTTTCACACACAAAGTCTAGGTCATAACTAATAATGCTTGGGCTGCTTCAACAATCACCACAGTTACAAAGTGAAACTGCTCTTTTGGAACACTCCAGTTTACCTTTGACCTTAGCTTACCTCCGGACGAGTTTAAAATACAAAGAAAATTAGTACAGTGTGACAAATTCTTTCACAAGTGTTAGGCTAAAGACAGCAAGCGAAATACAGCTCTGGCCTTGATAGAAAGCAGCACAAAAGCCCAGGGTGAGATGCTGGAAATCATTCGTGTTCCTGTTAGCTCCTAAAAGTTAAATTTGTTAGTTCTGTGGACTGAACTTCTATGAACTTTTAAAGTACCATTATTTCTGTTTGGTTTTCTGCTCCTGTTTCTTAAAGCACTATAAATAACACACACTACCAGCATTTTGAGGAGACTCTACTCCACTCCTGAGCACTCACAAACCAACATGGAAGTTACTTTTTCACTTCCAAGTTCACTATAGTTTCTAATAACATTCAATCAATGATTATTCAGTGCCCAACAACCCATCTCCTTAATTCACAGAATGGTTTGGGCTAGAAGGGACCTTAAAGATCATCTGGTTCCAACGCCCTGCCGTGGGCAGTGACACCTTCCACTACACCAGGTTGCCCAAAGCCTCATCCAACCTGGCCTTGAAAAGCTTCAGAGATGGGGCATCCACAACTCCTCTGGGCAACCTGTTCCAGTGCCTCACCACCTTCACTGTAAAAAATTTATTCCTTATATCTAATCAAAATCTGCCCTCTTTCACTTCAAAGCCAATACCCCTTGTCCCATCACTACACACCCTTGGAAAAAGTCCCTCTCCAGCTTTCTTGTAGGCCCCCTTTAGGTACTGGAAGGCTGCTATAAGAAACCTGGAGCTCTCTCTTCTCCAAGCTGAACAGCCCCAACTCTCTCAGCCTGTCTTCACAGCAGAGGTGCTCCAGCCCTCGCATCATATGCGTGGCCCTCCTCTGGACTCGCTCCAGCAGCTCCATGTCCTTCTTGTGTTGCGGACTCCAGAGCTGAACGCAGTATTCCAGGTGGGGTCTCACGAGAGCAGAGTAGAGGGGCAGAATCACCTCCCTCGACCTGCTGGCCACGCTTCTTTGGATGCAGCCCAGGATACGGTTGGCTTCCTGGGCTGCAGGCGCACATTGCCGGCTCATGTTCTAAATTTGTACTTCCTCAAGCTCGAGTTCAGGCACGTGTCCCCTTTGTGCTTCAATCTCCTCATTCTTCCCCTACAATCTGTATGCCAAGTCTATGCAAGTAGGGACTCACAGGCCTACCTCTCATACTCTCTCCAGCCAGGCTCTTCTACTATTTAACCCCACTCCCTCTCCTCAGTGATCAAGCTTCCTTCATTGCTTTCTCCCTGTAGGTGAAGGAGGACCTGAAAACATGTGAAACTTTGAATTCCATTTTTGAAGCTTATCTTTTTTTTCTTCTACCACCACTGTCTCGTCAGAGCACCACGGTAACTTTTGAGCAGCGAGCAGTTTGCATGGAGCTACTCTAAGCAGTTTTCCACCAGCCTTTAGAGGGCAGGTTTCTTTTGAAAACAGTTACATCAGGTATGCTAACCACTGTTAGGGGACTAAACGTCATCAGGATGTCCCTGAACCACATACCAGACGAATAGCAAGCACACAGTTCAGACCTGCTGTTTGAAACAATCTGACACAATAATTTGGAATTTTTTTTCCTGTTTTTTACTACAGAATTTCAACTGCTTATACTGTTTTTAAGATAGCTAGATAAGCACCTTGTAGTGCACCAGGGGACACTGGTCTCACATATTGTATCAGATTATTAATTTTATCCTAATAAAATCCAGATTGATAAACATTTCTATCTATACCATGTAATTTTTGTCACTTGGCCCACCCAGCAAATCTCATTGTAGTTTGCTACTCAAACTCCATATACTTTTGACTTCCACCTCAAAGCACAGCAAGTTGAAGTCCTAAAGTTTTGTTAAGTAACAACAATAAATCCAGAACAAGAAATTTTCCTGTACAGTACCAGTACACCTGTTCATCAAACCTATTCTCTGGTTATTTAAGAAATATTGAACATGCTTCTCAGGCTTTCCAAATGTTTATTCACCGAGTTGCTCCTGGACACGCCAGAAGACTGTAACAAACCTTATGCTGATTCTACATTAAACGTCTTCACTCTCCAAGGCGGAATGTTTCATACTTAGGTACCTCTTTCCTTGGCACAATATGCAAAATGATTAAAAGTAGGCTTTTCTAACAGAAACATGACATTAAGCAAAGCACTACTACTGCAACTATACTTGCGTCCTCATCTTGTGCAGGTGGCAAAGTTCTTAAAACTATTCAGTGAAGGTATGCCATAAAAAGTAGTTACGAGTGGCAATTAAAGGTATAAGGGCTTATACTGTGCTGCAGATTAGAAGTATTGTACCAGAACTTGAACACTTGAGGTATTTTCACCTCAACTAAAATCTTTACTAATTTTTCCAAAATTAGACACATAAAATGTTTTAATTATTTTAACCTAGAATTTTATAGAAATTGAAGGACATAATTGTTTTAAAGAAATTAACATCTCATCACAAATGAATAAGTTAAATCTTTTCTGTGAATTTTGAAATAAGAAATCCAATTGTAATAAAAGGAAGAAATGGAGTTGATTAAGTTAATGGGGGAAAAAAAGTATGGCTATGTTTATAACTTCCGCATCAAATTTGCTTGTTTCCCATATATCATGGAGGATCCATTTAGAAAAACAGATTCAGGCCAACAAACCCACTTTGCTTTATTTATAATCTCCAGAAAAAACTAATAATTTGTTAAAATATAAATTATAAAAAAGTAAAAATATTACTCTAAAAATATTATGTAGCAATGAAGTATAAAAATCTGGTAACACAAACTTGTCCAGCAAACTGCAGACAATGTTTTAATATAAAGTAACATGAAGCAGAACAATACCTTTTCTGCCAGGCTTCATTTCACCTTCTTGATCCATCCAATATTCTCTAATATCAATTAAGACTTTCCCTTTAAAGTCACGCACGCTGACATACCTCATTTTGCCAATCTGTCAAAACACATGCAAGAGTATTTTAGGTATTCACATATTACAGCAATCACTTTTCTCAACAGTATCAGATTCGGACATGTGATACTGCACACTGCAGCTTATTTTAGACACCAGAGAAACAGCTAGATCAAAACCTTAATCCAGTGCAGTCAGCAGGCTAATAAGTAATGACAATATAAATAGATGAACGACTTAAAATTAATTGAGCAATCACTGCTCAACGCAAAAGCACCTCTCCTAGAATAAAAATACCAATATTCTTAACGAGCTTACTTCTTACAAAAGCCACTAATTCACTGTTTTCTGAAATAAAATTTTGCCTGTATTATAACTAT